GAGGGAGGGAAGGAGGGAGGGAGGGAGGGAGGGAGAGAGAGAGAGATAGAGATGAGAGACATCCTAATTAACAAGGTGTGGTAGTTTGAATGTAATTGGCCCCCATAATCTCATAGGTAGCAGCACTATTAGGAAGTGTGGCTTTGTTGGAGTGTGTATGGCCTTGATGGAGGAAGCATGTCACTGTGGCACAGGCTTTGAGGTTTTCTATGCTCAGGATACTGCCCCATGTCTTAGTCAACTTCCTGTGGCCTGCATATCAAGATGCAGCCAGCATCATGTCTGCCATGCTCCCCACCATGGTGATAAGGGACTGAACCTCTGAAACTGCTAGTGAGCCCCGTCAATTAAATGTTTTTCTTTATAAGAGTTGCCATGGTCATGGTGTCTCTGCACAGCAATAAAAACCCTAAGACACAAGGTGATTGTATCCCATTTGTGGTTTCATAAGAACACCCTCCTCACTGTGGACAGCTGACTGAAAGGAGCAAGGCTGTATGACACCATGGAGGAGGCTGTTTGAGGTTGAGGAGCCCTCATCTGAAATCCCTGGGTTCAGAAATGTTTAGGTTTCACATTTGTTTCAGATTTCGGGATATTTGCATTTACATAATGAGATATCTTAGGAATCAGCCCAAATCTAAAATTAATTCATTTATATCTCATAGCTACCACAGACATAGCCTGGAGGTAATTTTATACAATAGTTTTATGGTGTCTGTATTTGGACTTCAACCTGTCACAGGCAGTCAGAAGAGGGTTTTATGTTGGCCCCCAGAGAGTCTCAGACTTTTAGATTAAGGAAGCAGAATGTGCACAGCAACCCAGGTGAGAAATAAAGGCAGACAACAGGTGTGCCACAGGGGAGCCTACTACAGTCCTGCAGACTGAGACACTAATTGTCATTTCTATCTTGCAATCTTTAACTATTTGCTTCATTACTTCCTTCTTTCAGAGATTTTTTGTTATCAGAGGGAAAAAAAAATGTTTCATTTACAACTGTTCACCCAAACCGGCAGACGCAGGAACACAGCCTATACAGAAACTGGTATGAAAGTATGGAGGTGTGTAGGAATACATCCTATACAGAAACTAGTATGAAAAAGAAGATTGGTTATGGCTGTCCGAGGAGGTGGTACCTGAAGCCAAGTACAAGCCCAGGCCTTCTCACTAGCATTGCAGACCAGCACCTCCAACTTGACTTAAGTACACATGGCACATTTAGATGCTCTCATCCCACAGCAGTCAGTGTAGGAGACCAGAACCCTGATGAACACATCAAGGGTGCGAGAAAGGTCTAAATAAACATAATCTTAAAAGCTGTTCTGTGATGAGTTATGATAAAGCCTGCTTTGGGCTTCATCACTAGATCCCTGGTGTTGACAATATGAAGGACAGCCACTCCCATCCTACTCCATTCCCAGCTCTGGTATCCCAAAATGTCCACACGCACATTTGTAATATCATTTGAGGTCAGACTGAGCATAGCATTGCTCATTGTCTTCAGCTAGGAGTAAGACACAGGAGATGCTTTGAAAAGAGATGCCAGATAGCTAGGAGACATTATATATGTATTCAGGGGGTAAGAACTGTGTTTACAGACATGCCTGTGGAATAACAAAAATTAAATCAGGGAGCTTGGTTACTGCAGGCATTTCTCCCAGGGCAAGAACACATTTAGTGTCCTATTAAATCAAAGGATGCCCACTGCAAACAGTGGCATGCTTTACCAGCTGGTGCTAACACAGATTGATGCGCGTGTTCAATCACACTGAACCTGACATGCCTCCTGAAATTTATACTGCACAGCGGAAACGTTTGCTATGATACGGCTTCCCACTCCCTTTAAGGCAGTAACTCACCAGGTAGAAATACAGCTCACTTAACAGTTTTAAAAATCCACGCTTAAAGTATTTTCTGGGGCCAATGATTCGCTGGAACAGAATATATAAAGTGGGACTTGTTAAAAAAATATCATGGAGGAGGCTTGAGAGGGGGTCACTTTTGATTAACCACTAAGACCACGGGGAATCAAAAGATATGAAACATGACTTTTTGTGAAGTCTGGTGAAAGATATATTACCAACAGGAATAACATGTAAGAGCCAGTCAGCAGTACCATCCAAGTCAAAATTCAAAGTTTGGCAATTTTTTTTATTCCTTGCACTCTGTTTTTTTTTTTTTTTCAAATGAAATTAGGGAACATATTTGGGATCATTACAATCTGTCATCTAATGGCATGTTAAATTTCTTCATTGGCTCACTATCAGCATGTTTATAGACTACCAGGAGGAACACTTACTTTTGAAACCCAGAGATCTGAACTAAAAATCAGATCCTGTGAACAACAAACTATTTTCAACGATGCAAGCAATGATGGGGGCAAGTCACAGTCCGTTTTGGAGTCAACCTTACAAAGACACCAGAAAGCTCTCCTTCCAGAGAATATAGAACTGAGAGTTTAGGAGATAATTTTGTAAATAGAGATATTTGGGTTAAAAACTAAGGTATTGTGTAATTCTGTTAAGTTTAAAAATAGCCTTAAAGTGTGAGCAATCAACTTCGTTACATATGCAAGTAGCAAGCAAGGTGGCTTTTGGCAGAAAGAAAATCTTTGCAGGGCAGGAATGATTGCTCAGTGGTTAGGAACAACTGGTTGCTCCTGTAGAGGATTGGGTTCTGTTCCTATCACCTGTGTGTGTGGCTAAAACTGCCTTTTAACTCCAGTTCCAGGAGTGATCTGATGTTCTCTTCTAGCATCTTCAAGTAAGTGCACACACCCACACATTTGAAAGAAGGTGGGGGAGGGGAGGGAGGGAGGAAGAGAAAGAGGGTGGGAGAAGGGGGAGGAAGGAGGGAGGGAGGAAGGAGGGAAGAAAGGAGAGAGAGGGTTTAAATCATAACACCTCCCATGAATCCTTGGCATGTCATTAACCTCCCAGAGCTTTCTGCTACTCACCCACTAAATGAGGAGAAACACCCCAATTTCACCAGGGTGTTGGAAGTTCAAGTGAAATGACATGTATAAAAATGAATAGACACATTCATGTACTTAATAAATATAATCTCTTCTCTTATATTCTTTATGGATTCTTCAGAGTAATACAGAAAAACTTAAGTAATTTTTTAAATGAGAAAATATTTAGCATATAAAAAGGGCAATATACACAGATGCTCAGGAACCTCTTGGCTCATTTCTTGTCTCTTTTCTTCTCCCTGGATCACCTTAGAAAACCTCCATCCACTTACCTATGTGTCTCAACTACTTTTGTATCACTATGACAAATACCTCACAGCAAAAACTCATAAGAGAAAAGATTCATTTGGGCTCATGGTTCTGGAAACTCTCTGTCAGTCATGATAGGGAAGGTTGGATGGAGTTCATGGTGGTAGAAGGGGCAGGAAGCACGGGCTGCCACAACTAGGGCTACAAGAGCCAGCCCCCGTGCCCAACTTAACACCAATCCCTAAAAGTTTCCATAGTTTTCCATCTAGAGAATAAGCATTCAACACATATTGCCTGTAGGAACATTTTAGATCCAACCTGTAAAACTATGGCTTTCCAAATTCCCTTTGTCATGTTTCTCAAGACCATCTATGCCTTTAGTAATGTGGTTTTTGTTGTTGTTTTGCAGGCTTCCTATGGGGGCATCAAAGCCAGAATTAGTCTTTGCCTCTTCTGAAGGATATAGAAAAGAAATAGAACAAAATAACGCTAAGGAGAGTAAGGGGTCACTGCATGGAATCCCCATGAGTGAATTGGTTGCCAGGTGCCAGCACTACCTGCCTCTGTGTGGAGACTGAAACCCAAGTCAGAGAGTAATGGCAAGATTTGCCACCTCAAGTATGCATTAGTGACAGTGACATAAACTGTATCAGGCAGGACAGAAAAAACAACATGAGTTCATTAAGGTCTCAAGGAACATTCTTGACTTTTCTACAAGGGAGTTTGGAATGAAGGGTGTCTATTACATAATTTTAACTACCATCTAGATGAAACTCTGCCCATTAGCATCCATAAAGTAAATATCTGAAACCATCTAAGTATCTAGTAAATAACAGAATAATAATTATATACTTCCTGTACTCTCCTGGCTTCCTTCGTGTAGATTTGAAAAATGTAATCAACTGTCTTCCTGACCCTGCCTCTGTGCCATGCCTTCCCTGTCATAATGGACTATCCCTCTGGAAGTGTAAGCTAGAAGTGTAAGCCCTTTCTCCCTTAAGTCACTTTTGATTTATCGTAGCAGCTAAAAAGCACTAACGTGGCCTTGAAGCTCCTCTCTTGAATACCTCTCCCCCCACTCCCCACCTCTGTTACATTCACATAACTTTTTCTGTCATTTCTCCCACAGGAGCCATATCAGGACCCCACTCCCGCTGATCCCTCTGGAAGCCTCCTTCCTTCTTTAGGTCTCAATGCACTATAGGTGACACATTCTCAGATGCCTCTCCTGCTACACAGCATTTTACTCAGGCTTGATTTCCAACACCATGTGATACATCATCTCTACTCACTCACCTAGCTTTCTCTGTCTTTGTCAATTGTCTGTGTGTCTCTTTCCCTTCCTTCCCTCCACACGGCATGTTCTGTCTCCTCTTATGATCCCTAGCAAATATGCAAAACACGGGTTTAAAAATATTTGTTGGGCAAGCAAATTCTACTTCTTGGGAAGGTAAGTCCCTTGGAATTAAAAATCAAATGGAAGGAAATCAATAAATGCTTGAATGAATAAATGAGCAAGTGACTCAATTCCCAATTTATATCTTATGGTCTAGAGATATTATTTTTGAATCATGCTGAGATATTACTTAACAGAAACAGCTGAATGGAGAAAGGCTTATTTTGGCTCCTGGTTTCAAAGGTATTTCAGTTCTCTATGATGACAATGGCAGTCACATGGTGATAGACTAAGAAGCAGAGAGACCTGGATAGGAAGAGTGGTTAAAATCTTCAAAGACACCCCTCCCCTTGGTGGCATAATTCTTTCTGTCAGCCAGGCCCTATCCCTGAAAGGCTTCACTGCTTGAAATGGTAGCATAAAACTGGGTAGTAAGTGTTCAAACCATGAGTCTGGGGTGACGTTACTCATTAAAACCACTACAAGGCATATAGACTGACATGGAAGCAAGTGTTTTATACGGTTTAGAAACCAGAACTACAGTCTAAGTAACATATGCAGGGAAAAGAAAAGTCACAGAATTCCAAACAAGCCCCTGACTTTCATTTTGCTGTGTTCCTTTGTGTCCTTGGATTGAACAAGTCAGAACTCATCTGGATTCCTTTGCTTAGCTGCAATTCTCTCGCCAATGAGGTTTCAAATTACAAACTCTGAGGTTATGTGAAAGGATTTTCACAAAAAATCTCAGGAGTACTTACCTTGCTTATGTAAAAAATAATCGACCAAAAGAAAATCAACACACACACTTTAAAACATAGGCAGGGGCAAACCTGCATCCAGTGGATACCACAGAGAAAGAGTGGATGGGCTCAATGAGAGAAAGGGCTTTGGATGGTCACCTGGTCACCTGGAAGCCATCGCTAATGCAGGGCTTGCTCACCAGGAGGCAAGAATCACACAGACAATGCAACTGGCTTGGTATGAAACAAGACAGCAATTCATTTTGCAAAGCCCATCTCAGGCACACTCTGCATAATACTCCAGCCTCACTCATAGACCAGCAAAGCCCGCCATGCGATTGGCCTTTCTGTCTCAAACTTCCTCCTGTACCATCTTGAACGGTTGTTGTCTTTTGGTTCAAACGAAGAAGTGCATGCCTAGGAATCTTCCTCTGGCCATATGGGTGAGTAGGAGCCCATCATGGTGGTCAGAATTCAAGTGGTTCAAGTTCAGCCACTGTGACTCACACTAGCTGTGCCCTAACGGACATGTCACAAACCCTCCCTGAGCCTCAGTTTCTTCATCTCTAAAAAGTCTGTTCACCATTTTCACAAGTGAAAGAGAGATGGCATGGGAAAATGCTTACCATGGTGCTCTGGCATCCAGACCTTACTAGCTATTATTATATTACCAGCTAGTATGTTGTCCTTGGCTTTTAAGGACAACTTACTAAACTTACACTGCTCAAAAATAGATACCTCAGAGTCTCCATCATTATTTTTAGATTAGCAACTAAGGTTTGCAAAAAGTTTGTTACCTATTTCAAACTTTATTCACGTCAAAGTAGGGAAAAAGACCACCAGACAGATATGGACACTGTTTTCTAGGTATGGCTAGCGGAAGTGAAGTCATGCAAAGAGTTTTACAATTCTATTCCTAAGTAAAAAAATATATACATGTTGCTATCGGATAGCTTAAAGGAACCCTCAAAAAAATATGGTGGCATAGAACATTTATGTAAACTAAAAAAGGAATAAGAGTTAAAAATACATAGATAGGCCTATTCTGGTTTCAATGAGGTACTTTTCTAATAAATTATCCAATAAATGAATTGCTTAGCCTAATGCTTTATATTACCATATTGCTTGAAGAATTTAAAAAGCAAGTAAAGTGACAACCACATGCATATTTGCTTTTTCCAGCCTTACTAATCACACTAACCGAAGACACACGTCAATAGCATAATAGCATTGAGTGAGCTTCAGCCTGTTACACAAGGATCCGTCTCACACATGGAGTTTTGATTCAATAGTGTAGGAGGAGGTGAGTTATTTATGTTCTGTAAAATGTCCCCAAGTATTGCTAATGCTAAAATCCATGGTTAACAATTACTGTCCCAAGTCTTTCCTTAGGCAAGCTGTTTCATCTTAGAAAATTTTCACTTTTTCACCCAACTTTTCTATTCCCAGACAGGATCTCCAAACCCCAGGCTGGCCTTGAATCTGGGAGTCTCCTATTTCAGCATCTTAGCTGCCAGGTTTACAAGTTTATATGACCAAAAAAAAAAAAAAGAAGAAGAAGAAAATTTGTTTTGGCTCCTATGCTTTGTTCCTTCCAAAGAAAAACCTGGCTCTTTGTAATTCAATGAAGAAAAGGGTTAAGTTACTCCTGAACCCTGAAAACACATAAAACAAAATCAGTCTCCTAACTCCAACAAAGGGGCTGAAGGAGATGGGGAAGAGGGGGGTGAAGTGGGATTTGTCCCATGAAATCAAGTGACTGTTTGTCTTTAAATCTTTTCTTTTCTTTTTTTTTTAATGCATATCCCTGTGTCTGTGTAAGGGTATGCCACATGAATGTAGGTTCCTACATAAAAGTTGGACTCCCAGTAGCTGGAGTTTCAGGTAGCTGACATGGGTGCTGGGAACCAAACTTGAGCTCTCTGGAAGAGCAGCAAAGCTCTTAACTGCTGGCCCCTCTCTCCAGGCCCCTGCTCATCTTTTATACAGCTCTTTGCTTCAGAACTGTGGTCTCCCATGTGACAACCCATACATGGCTGTGAAACATCTGACTTGTGGTTGGTGGCCTCTGTGCTGGGAGCACAACTCTAGACAGAACTCAATTGTGCCTGCAACATTCCTAATACTTTAGTATCTAAGATCGTCACTTAGTTAACTCATTCAGTAGGTTTTGTTTAACATGATACCTTCTGCTTGGCAATAGGGTGAGCATGGAGACGGTAGAAGGGAACGGATGTGAAATGCTCTTACTCTCATGGAATCTTACATTCTCATTTGTAATAGATGGCCTTTGAAAACCACCAGTCCTATTGTAGAATCGCTTTCTCCAACAAATATGAGTCAAATAGATTTTTTGTTTGTTTAATGTGCTATTTTGGTGTAGAGAACCAAATAATGGAGAAACAGTATCAGTTCAAGAAAGCCAGGTGGTTCCAAAGATAGAAGAGATGAGAGGAACTGAGAGGCCAGTGATCTCAAGGTTTTATTGTTTCTGTTTAAGAAAGGGTCTCATGTATGACCCAGGGTGGCTCATGATTGTCCTGCCTCCTTTTCCCAAGTGCTGGGATTCTAAGTCCATGCCATTCATGATCTTTTTGCAGAAGGGCAGTGTCACCTCAACAGTCATGGGTTCAGAGGTTATGAGAGGGGGAGGAGAGACACCTACTCTGGGCCACAGAGAAAACTGAAAGTTAGCTACCAGGAACAAGACCAAAAGAGTTACCAGTAAGTATACATTTAATAATTCTCATTGGAGACGGCATCAGGCAGAACCAAATCCACCACTGGAAAAGGCATTTTCAGGTAACTATAATAAATACATTTTATCTAGTGGGTGAAAAATTTCAGGTGGGGGGGGGAAGAGAGATTATGAGCATTGCTTTGACAAAAGCTATTACTAACTCAACGAGAACCCAGAAAGCTTACTGAACAAGTACACAAGGAATTCTAAAGGAAGTTCTTCTAACCCCATGCTCCTCCAACTACACCATCCTCTCCTAGGCCACCCCTACACCCAGCCATCAGCAATTTCTGAAATACTGCCCCCTAGAGCTGTAGCACAGAAAGTCAATTCATAATACGTAGGCTCTAGCCAATGACAAATGGCCCTAATTTAATCAGAATGGGGTGCCTGAGTAAGCAGAGAGTGAGTGGAGAGTGAGTGTTAAGGAGAGGAGAGTTGACCACAGTTGCAACGCTCAGGTAATTATGAATTAAACCCAGCCCTAAGACTGCTGACAAGCAACCTTACCTAGCTCTGGAGGCAGAACAGTCAGGCGGTTCCCCTGAATGTGGAGCTCCTTCAGCTGGGTGAGCTCGCCGATTTCCTTAGGCAGTGAGATCAGGTCGTTATCCCTGAGGCTGAGCTAAGTACACGAAAACAAGGAGCTGTCAAAACAATTTTTCATAAAGAGGTGCTCAACAGAAACTCACACCCTCACCCAATGCCCTCTCTTCCTTCCAGGCTCAATCTTTTCAATTCATTTAAAAGTGTCTGAGGCTAAACAAGAAACAGAAGCAGGAGCAGTGGTTCATTCCTGCAAAACAAACCTTACTCCTGCTCAAATTGACTTGATTCGACTCCTACAAGGGCTGCAGAAGTGAATTGATTTTTCTAAGAATTTAGATAAATTACTTACTATCTGCAACTTTGTGAGCTTCCCAATATCTGGAGGCAGGATTTCAAAATCGTTGTCACTTAGATAGAGTGCACGCAGGGTGGCTGCAAATTAAACAGCGATATATAAACAGGGTGGCATGGAATCCAGCCCTTTGAGGTCTGATCAATGCAAGGGAGTCAGCTTTGATTAATAACCCTAGCTTGGTGAAAAGCCTGTGACACACCTAGGGCTCACTATAATAACAAGCAGGTCAAACCTAGATTTGCTGGTTGATGGTAGTGCTGGTATGTCCAGGAAAACATCTGTATCCAAGAGGAGTAACGCAATTAACAACTCTGAGCATTTCACTGAGTTTGGCACAGTTTTGATACTTTCAGAGAAGGTGGCTATTTTTCTCTATTACTTCAGATTCACATTTATTATACCATTTGCATTTCAAGAGAAAGAAGGACCACATGGTCCCACATGGCCACCCGCATCTGAATCCAGAGCAAAGGGCTGTTTCATTAAAAGGGATCTACGTCAGCCGAGAACTTTCTTACACAAATAAAGCAAGGTTAAGAAGAAATACATGAAGGGCTTTCCAGTGATGGACAACATCATGACTTATCGTTTCCATAATCAGCTTGATCACTTTCACTTTTATCACTTTAATGATGAAACTATATGAAGACAAAGGTGCTAAAATGAGGATGTGGATTTAAGAGATTAAAGCTTAAAGCAAGCAGAATAGCAAAAGTCGTTTCATTCAGATTTTAAAATGATGGCATGATCTCAGCCACGGAATGCTAAAATCCTTAAATAGCTATCAACAACAACAACGAAGGAAGTTTAATTAGATGCACTTTAAAAATTGGCTTAACAGCTACCTAATTACAGGGGAAAAAAAAGGACAGAATTGTATGTTAACATAGATAACAAAAATAATTTCCTCTGTGGCCCAAGAAAAAAATTTAGAATTGGTTCCATGTGCTTCAGAATGTCTGGTAGAGGGCATGAAAAGGAAGTAAAAGGAAGAAAAAGTGAAATTTCATAGGCTGGTTCAGAAGTGGCAGATTTTCTAGTGTGGGCATCTGGACAAGAGGTTAAGGTAAGGAGAACCGCCACAGTGTGCGGCCAGACTGGTCTTCATAGCAAGGTCCAGGTCAGGCAAGGCTATACAGTGAGATGCTTTCTCAAGAGTAAATGAGTATTATAAACAAATGCCCAGAACATTGTAAGTGGAGTTCAGCAAAAACTTGTGCCTACAGAAAGAACAGCACCAACAGAATTCCACAGGACACAGAAGTCACCATTCACAGGTGCAGACTACTAACTTAACATACAGTTATGTTTGTTATGAGTGTCTCCTAAGCCATTGGGATATTAGCCATCCAAATTTTTGTATGTATCTATAGCAAAAATAGTATGAAAAGACAAACATGTGACCAGATGTGATAAGCAATTCCATAATGGCTATGTAAGAGGCAGAATTAGTCTATGGCAAGAAGAGCTCTTCAAAACCTATATAAGAATCTGAGCTGGACATTTAAACAATTCTGTTAGCAGCTTGAGAACGGATTTTTAATAAACAATTTTCTGGAGTATCTTTGAACAGTGCATTGCAGAGAATTAATAGAAAGCAGAGAAAGCCTTTTCTTTCTTTCCTTTTGTATTCTTTAAGAAGGAAATCAAGAATCTTAGTTAAATGGGAGACTTGATCTCATGGAGGAACAAAATCTCTTTTGGAAAGTTAATATGATATTACTAAGTCTGCTTCTGCCCAGTGGTGTCAGCCACCTACACATCAAATATAAATCCTGCTGAACAATGAAGGAATATTTAAAAGGACTCTGTGATGGAACTATATACATGTATCTAATAATTTCTCTTAAGAGTTTTAGAACTAGCAAATAAATTTTTACTCTTAGAACCAAAGTACTGTGTTAAAGAGATTTACAGAATTAAAAGTTTCTCACTGAGGTAGAAGAAGTTTCCGGGGAGAGAATGTTCATTCAGGTTGTTGTAGGTCAAGTCCAGGACCTCCAGAGCTGGGAGAGAGCCGAATCCTCGAGGCAGTGTGTTCAACCTGTTCATGCTGCAGTTTGGGGACAGAAAGAACACGTCACCTCCTGCAAAGCACAAGTTCACAGGGAACACTGGAAACATGGCAAACCCATCTCAACAGGATGAAAGCCCAAAAGCCTGCCATGATTCTGCATTCACAGAATGCTGCTTGATTTTTCATTTTATTCATATAATTTGATTGACAAAAAGAAATTGTCACACTAATGGTATATACAACATGCTGTTGGGAAATATGGGCACAATGGAGGAAACACCACATTAAGGTATTTAACATACACCTGATTTCATGAGCATTCTGCATGTGCTGAGAGTACACTGGGAATGCAGATACACACAAATCTAGTCTCAGAGCAACTTTCAAATACAGCAAATATCATTAATTCTAGTTACTATGGTATAAAATAATCTCTTGAACTTATTCCTGAATAACTGAAATTCTTGGTCCTTTAACATCTTCTTAGTGAACATCACTTTAATCCACTGAGAGGACTTTCATATTTTACCTCACATATGAGATAACACATACTAACTTCACTTAATCATTTTATTCAGATAACTCATGCTTATGAAATGTATGAAAAATCTTAAGTCCAACAGGAAAAAAACTTGAATACCACTCTACATATGAATGCACAAAACACCTGTCTGAAAAGAAACTTCCTTAAGCATATGTAAACAAGAATTCAAAGCATGCATTACAGGTATTTGCTTTATTTCATCCATTCATTTTAATGGGAGGGGGAACCAACTTCTTGCTCAATAACTATATACTATACTAATGATCAGAATTATCTCCAGTTAGAATGTTAGTTGCCAGGGCCTGGGGCAGAGGGAGGGAAATTAGTTGTTTCAGGTTTGCAAGACAAGAAACTTCTGAAGATTTCATCTGTAGTAGTGTGAAAACAGCAATCTTGAATGACATGCTGCAAAAAGGTTAAGATGGTAAACTATATGGTGACTAATGTTAGTTATCAACTAGATACACCTGAGAGAAGGGAATCTTCACTGAGGAATCACTTCTATTAGACTGACCTATCAGCATGTCTGTGGGGACACTTTCCTCATTGCTCATTGGTATAAGAATGCCCACACATTATGGGTCTTGCCATCCTTCATGTAGGTGGACCTGAGCTGTATAAGAAAGGTAGCTGAAGAACTCAGAGGAAGCAAGCTAGTAAACAGGTTTTCCTTCTAGTTTCTGCTCTAGTTCCTGCTTTGAGTTCCTATCTTGGCTGCCCCCAATAATAGACTAAAACAACTTGTAGGCCAAATAAACCCTTTTAGTCCCCACGTTGCTTTTGGCTAGAATCTTATTACAAAAACAGAGAAGCAAATTACATACATACATACATACATACATACATACATACATACATACATACACACATATATAATCTAAGAGAAAATTGTGATATTATGTTTTATCCTTCAAGGCCTTTATTTTTCCTATTGCCGCTGTCTTTAAGAATACTTAAAAGCCAGCTTTAAAACAATTCAGTGAAAGCTGACAGACACTGGACGCGGGGAGAGACTGTGTGTGACACTAAAAATCAATGCCATCTAAGAAAAGATACAATGTTGCCCACCTCTACCAACCAGGCCTCATGAGAAATGACTGAGCAAAAGGGAACCCAAGAGAAAAGTGGATTTAAAAGTCTTAGGTGGAGGGGGTCCCAGGCTGACTTTACTCAAGGCAAAACAAACTTCTGGACTACTTGCCTCAAAACAGAGGGTATGTCAGCGTTCCTATGATGTTACAGTCTATGAGGCACATCTATGTCAGGCCTTCCATCTGGTTCACTAACTGCCAAGTGCTGACAAGATAGACTCTAGCAACAAACTGGGCTGACAGTCCAGAACAGTTGAGTGTGGTCCTTTACTGTGTCATTAGCCCAAAACCTATTACCCTGCAAACTTCAAACATTCATGGCTTTTCATTTCTTGTAAAATACACAATGCATTGTGCTTTAAAAATTAAGAAAAGGTCAAAACTTTCTCTCACGAGCTGGCCTAAAGTTCTCGCATGTCTTGCAATCATCATAACAAACAGCAAATACTACATAACTCAAAATTTGTTTGGTTGGGTGTCTTTTGGACTATGAATGCATGTGACCCTGTGCTTATGGTCTCCCAAGTGCACACTTTCATTCTACCTGCTTATGCCAAGCAGTCCTCTCCATCCTGCCTTCCCCTGGCCTTAATGTGTATATATAAGTATGACATTCAAGAACAGAAAATCCTTTTTGAAATCCATCTTCATTCCTTTCCCAACGAACTGAAAGTTTTATTGAAATAGCAACTTCTATGGAGCCATGGAGTTGAACACTGGTAGTTTTGCATAATCAATAAACTTAAGAGCCAAAAGTGCAAACAATTCCAAAAGGGGAAGGATATAACTAAGGTACATGTTCATCAAGTTTACCCTTCCGTCCTAAGACAGCCCAAACTCAACTGAACCAAGCCTGAGTTCATTTTCTTCCCAAATGTGTCTCCATCTCAAAATCCATGCTAGCTGTCCAACACAGAAATCCACATTGTATCTCTCCCACCAGTAACTGTCTTGGCAAATTTTCTTTTACATAGTTTTCTAATTAAATCTCACTGCTCCCATCCCTTCCTCCACTGTCACTGATTCAGATCACCTGAGACACAAAGGTAACTTCCTTACTGGCCCCTGGACCTCTACCCCAATTCCCATTAGCCCTCTTCACACTGAGCTTTCTACAAAACTGCTCTCATTTCATATCCACTACTCTACAGGACAAATTCCTTCATCGCCAGGGAGATACAGTCTGCAACCACAGCTCCATTATATAAACCATCACTGACATCTATTTGTTTACTACTGGTGTCCCCACTGTAGTATGAGCTCTATGCCAGCCGGATTGCTATTACCTAAAATGGCACCTGGTAGCCATCTGGAATTCAGCAAGCACCCATTAGGTAAACAGCAGGCATTCCCAAGTGCCTGGCTAGCCATCACCTGACCTCCATCTGCCTCACATTGTACATTCAGTCACACCAGTGAATGTCAATGAACGCCCCGGAATTTGTAGTGCTCTGAGCTTTGAAATGTGTTCCTCTGTCAACCTGAGATTCCTGCTTAGTTGTCTAGGTCAGAAACTCATTTGCATGCATTGTGTGGGTTCCAGTGTTCCTCTGTGTGAAGCCTCCTGAGATCCCCATCTATAGGCAAATGCTTTTCATGTCTCTGATTTCATTGCAGTTCCATCAACCGCAGCATAGCTGTGACCCTACTGTGTTCACTGACAGTGTGCCCTGCCTCTATCATAAGGTCCAAACCATGGTATTTATTCTTGATCACCATCAGCAATACTGACATAGAATAAGCACTCACATATTCAAGAAATAAATGAACAAATTAATGAAACATTGATAATAGTTATCACTAATGCTGTGCTCTGATTAACACATACTGGGTCATGTCCCTAATTACATGTTAGTCAAATACGCATTGTACATTAACATCCTTATAATATACTAATAGAAGTATATAATATAGTAAAATATATATACATATATTTTATATGTATTATTTTATAAATTAACAGCTTAGCAGTAGAGATACATATTTACTATTTTGCACACTAATTGACCATACAACTTAATAGGCTTGTGTGTGTGAGTGTGTGTGTGTGTGTGTGTGTGTGTGTGTGTGTGGTTTATGTACATGGACATACCTATATGTGCCCCTGTGCAGGCCAGAGAAACATAGAATGTATGTCTTCCTTACTCACTCTATACCTCATGTTTTTAGACACGTTCTCTCACTGAACCTAATGCTTGCCATTTTGGCTAGGCTATCTAGCCAGCAAGCTTCCAGGATCTACCTGTATCTACCACCACACCCCCAGTGCTGAGATTAAAGGTATACAAGGCCAATCCTGGTTTTCACATGGGTGCTGGGGATTTGGACCCAGTTCGTCCTGGTTTTAAACCAAGCACTCTTACCCATGGAGCAATCTCCCCAGTACCAGAACCTAATAATCTTCAAACTTGAGAACCAAATGCATAATCCTTCCTTTTCTGTTTCTTGATGGGGATCCAATGTGAGGAGCACTAGTGAGGGAAAACTGTCATTTGAAGGAAGGCTGCTCATTCTACTCCGCTTCCTCTCACACATTAGCAAGCAGATACTCACAGATCTCATAATGCTGGTCTCTTATCCAAACTGAGCTTCAAACAGGAGTGTCTAAACAAACCCCTAATGGAAAGAGTGGACTGAGTGGACTAGCAATTGTTCATAAACTCCCTATTAGACTGGTAAGTTCCCAGCATACTTCTTTTGCCATGTAGCTCACTGACAGAACTGTAACATCCAGCAGCTACAATTTAATGAATGGACTGGCCTGCACCCAGATGGAAACGCAAAAGACTAACATTCAGCTAACAGCTAGGGCAGTGAAGATGGAATTCAGAAGCCAAAGTTCCACTTGCTATCCATGGGGTCTGATGGACCCAAATCAATGGAGGTCTCCACCTCACTCAGCCTCCGAAGTCAGGGGTAATCAGGAGCAAATGGCTTAACCCATTGCGAAGAGGTTGGCTGCTTCTCTATGTAAGGAAAGTTCTGAATCCTGCCCTCTCCACCTCACAAACATGGACAGGGTCAAGTGCTGGCACAAGAAATCTGAAAGCTGCCAAAGCAATACACACGGATACAAGGGACTATTACCATTCACTGATGCTTGGTTCTGCAACGTCAGCTGAATCACTCCCCATTCTTCACCTCAGCGTAAAAAACGTAAGATTGTTCCCTACACCCACAACACAGAACAATGGCAAGAAATCACAGTGAAACACAAGGGACCACTGCACAGAAGGAATGTGTTTTTCAAGCTACTTCTATGTAAAACACAGAGAAAACAATCCAACTATAGTGCAGCTTATCTGAATAATTAATGCTACGAAAGTCAGTCCTTCCTTGGCCAACACGACAGAAATAAATTTTATTGGGAACAAAATATCTCGAAAAATAACTTTCTTATTGTGCTAACAATTGACTTCCCCATTAGTTCTCAACTAGATATGCACTGAAAGGAAACATTAAAACAGTAGCCTTTTCTTAAGCCTGAAACATAAAAAAGCAATTAGAAATCCACTTCTCCTATGTGCTAATCAATAAATGCTGCCCCTTGCTTGCTCGCACCCTACATTGCCTTTGCCTCTCTACCTGGCAGTCATTTCTTCAAGCTTGTCCAATACTCACCCCAGGTTCAGGTGTTTGAGTTTCTGAAGGCTGCTGATCTGGGTGGGCAGTTCCTCAATCTGGTTATTGAAGAAGTTAAGCACCTCCAAGTTCTTCAGTTCTGCTACATTTGGGGGCACGGCTATGGGAATAGAGACACTGCACGTGAATTCAAGTGCAAGGGATGCTAGCCACGCCTCCTTTCAAATCCAAGCTGAGTTCAAACTCCAGTGTTGTCCACATATGGGTCTGATTTACATTTTGTAGTCTTACTTATTTCCATGGGTAACAGTTCGTGACCAAGCGGAAGAAGTTGAAGTGTTTCCTTTATGTGATTAGATAAAATTACCCTGCATGGTTTGTGGCAGGTAAAGAGAGAGGGTGGAAGCAGAAATGAAGGGAGGACGCCCCACACCTCCATCAGCCTCTCCAAAAACGGTACACAGTACACTCTTCCTTGCCACAAGTCTCCAGCAGTAGACAATCATCTGGAATGAATGAGGGTACACTCAAACTTCTTAAATTATCCCGAACCCGATGCAGGAGCATGCTCTGATGGTCACAGGTGAAGATAACCACTTGGGACCTGTAAGGGGTCGCCTTACCTGTGGTCTATTTCTGTGAATACAAATTAAAAGCCTCAAAATTATTGCCAATCCTTAGTATCTGCTACTTTGAAGACAAAATGTTGAACCCAGGATGCACAAAATACCAGCAGCACCTTTTCCTTTCAAATGGAAGTGTCATGGCGCTCCAAGGTAACCAACTAATTCATGCACAGGCTGGGTTTACATCTTATTAAATCATATCTAGGAGTCAATCAACCAAAGAGAAAATACTGCATCTATCCTGACTTTATATAGCAGATCTTTCTTGTCGTTACTTCCTAAACAATGAAGTTTAACAAGAGTTTGCTTCTTAGTAGATATACGTAAGCTAGCAATAATTCAAGGAACACGGAGAATGTGTATAGGTTATGTGCATATACTGTGCCCTTTTACATAGGGATTTGAGAATCCCTGGATTTTGTTAACCAAAGCTCTTGTATCCAACCCCCAGTGACAATGAGGAACAAATGTTCCACTTTAAATTGGTAGCAAAAGAGAGGAGGGGGAACCTTTTCCATAGATTGCCACTTATCTAGCCTACTTGCTATCTAATTTTCTATAAGCAAACACATGTAGGTTGTCCATGGTTCACGGACACTATGCTTTCCAAACTTTCCAGATCACTAAAAATATCAATGTGGCCTTGGATCTGGCACAAGCGAGTGGGCCATGCCTCATATCAGAACATTCACTTCCCACTCCAGCGCTCTCTTCTCTCCTTCTGCCCCCGAAGGCTGAGAAAGTCACTTTCCTGGCCAGCCTTCCTGACTCTGGCTTAAGCCTAAACTCAGAACCAGGAATGCTTGTGCTTATGACCCTTGCATGGTTGTATGAAAATTCCAAACATCTGAGATATGGATCCAGACAGTCATTCCAAGAACAGCACTTGGCAGCTCCCAGGCAACACAAAGTAAAGAGGGGGGGGGTGATACTGTTCATGTTCGTTCTGAGTCACTATTTTCAACACTGAGAAATACCCCGGTATCAATGGCCTAATTTCTATGATTTTGATTGTGAGCCTAGCCTTTAACAGCTGAGCCATCTCTCCAGCCCTGTGGCCTAATTTCTTGAAGAGGGACTACTTGGGACAATGAAAAGGAAATGCTGTCAATGGAAGGAGGGACATGAAAGATGCAGCTTGGTGTATACTAGAGCCCCAGGCAGGCACCAGTGGTCCCAAGATTGGGCCTTGTATTACCTCCCAAAGTGGATGGAGACAAAGACACTAGTATTTTATGGACTAGTCCAGGCAGCTGGGAAGAATTCCAGAGTAACTTGTGTATACTAATACAAATAACTAAGAGCCTAGCTTATACAAAGTGACTGCAAAAGCATATTTTAGGTGTATATACTTTCATGTAAATAAGTGGTGTTCACTTTATATAAGCAATTACGAGAAAGTCATTAAACTTTACCCCGAGGCTCATATGCTCCCCCCACAGACCAAACTGAAAGGGCAGCTATCAGAGACCTGACCCTCTTCCCTTGTCCACCCTGGAGCTACCAGCAAGCCTCCTCTCACTACAGTGATCCGATTAGCTTGAAGAGCAATAAAGAAAGTTACTGAAACCAAGAGAAAATGATGATCTCAATTTAGCCACAAACCAAGAATAATGTGGCCAGAATTACTGCCGCCTCCCCAAACTTACTCTGCCAATGCAATTAAATGCTGGTCTAAAGGTATCGCCTCTTTGACAGGATGAGAGATTATTTCACTCTCCTTGCTAAAGTGGTCCAATTTAAAACCCCCAATTATGTTAAATGTGATTTAGGACTTTGTTTAGTGGACACAAACAATAACCCCACATTCAATTTACCAAACCTCTCTCAGCCTTTTGGTGTGCATTTGAATGTGTTGTATTGAGACTCCATTCACGCTGGAAATGAAGAACCAAATGCATAGCTATTATTTCCCTGTAAACTACAGTATGTTTTATCAGCCATGGTAAAAATAGAAAGAATTACATTCAGACTTATCTGGACAGAAGACCATTTATCCAACCAAAATTCAGAGACTGTTAACCAAGTGCAGGGGGCTGTACTCTTGACGTCTAGCATAGTGAAGCTCTGTGGATAAAGTAAGAGCTTTGCTGCGCTATTTAAAGAAAGAAAGTTACAAAAGAAGGCTTGTCATAGTCTAATGTGGAAACGGAGCCAGTATTTGGAAAGCCAGCTAATCCCAACAAAACCATGACAAATGCAAACGGTTAGCAATACAAAGCTGTGGTGAATAAATCATGTGCACACATAGCACAGATGATCCCAATAGTTATGAAAAGGTGGCTGCAAAATTTCACCAGGCAAAAGCCTCTCCTGGAGGACTCCAAGGCTTCCATGGGACACATTAACAAAAAGAAGCCCTTGAAAACATGAAAACATAATTAAGGTGGTGATGAGATGGCCCAGCAGTTAAAGGCACTCGCCAAGGCTGATAACTTGTATTTAATCCTTGGGGATCCATGTGATGTCATATAAATACCGCACGCAAACTGATTGCACCCCTGAGCTCCAGGGCATCCACATGATGTAAGGAGTAACTGTAGAGTTTCTCCTCTGACCTTCACATGTACACCATAGCATTTGAGTATGAGCGCACAGATAAACAGCCACACAGGCACACACACCCCAACAAATATATACAATTTATAAATATTTTCAAGAGAATATAATTAAACAGTGTAAATCAAGATGTCTTTTATAATCACTCGGAAATTCTGTTCCATGTGCCCGTGCGGCACATGATCTGTGAGCATCAGGTCAACAGACCACACAGAACTGTGCACACAGAAGCAACAGAGGAACACTACAGTATCTGGTCAAAGACATCAGAGGCTGACTCAGGCACCTCCCGACCCTGCCCTGTCCTTACTGTGAGCCTCCTTACTTAATAGACAACCTCTCTGGGACTCCTTTTCCTCAAGAGTAAAATGAGAAAGCTGGATTGTGGTCATTTTAAATCCTCTTCTACCTGCTTTTAACATTTTATGAGGCTGAGAAGTAGTATTGTGAAAATCAATGATAACAGATTTAAATAATGCAACACTGGGGTCCCCAATTAGGATGCTCAGTCATGTAGAACTTTGCTTGTCACAAAGAACTTAGTAGCATTTTCTGTCTTGTCAGTGACAGTTCCTCTAATTTTGAGAATTCAGTTGCTAAATTTGGGAGGAAGGCCATAACTGTTCTCTGCTGTTCCTAGGCTCCCCAAGGTCACACTCTGTAGGAAGACTACACCACCTCTGGAGATCCTTTCAGCCCAGATACTAAGCCCAGGGCCTGTTTGCAGAGTACTTTCTAGGATTGCTAACAATTTCAGACAAACCAATGCAGCACAGCCCTGTTTTTTCCTTCAAGATTTACTTAATGAAAACCAAACCAAACCAAAGACCTGAATGTTGTCTTAGAGGTCCATCTCTCTCATATCCTGGCTATCTTAGAGATCTACGTATCTCGTATTATGGCTCAGTCTTAGAAATTCAGACAATATTCTCCAAAGTATCTGGAAGGTTCCATAAGAAACCCTGAGGGACTTAAAGATCCCATTAGCTTGTCTTTGAGGGGGCTCTGTCAGAGCCAGCATAGTGTTACACATTTATAATACCACCACTCAAGAGGCTACGACAGGAGAATGGCAAGTTCAAGAACTACAAAGTTCCAGGCCACTACAGAATACTTCCTTGGGTAAGAT